CGCGCTCTTGTCCGTCACACGCTCCTGTCGATCCGCCGCAGAAGCCGCCTGCATCGTCCTTTTTTCTGCCCCACAGCTGGGTCGCTGTCGCTCTATTCTGGACCCTGCCATCTCCAAGGCAAGCAGTGTGCGCTTTTTACCGATTGGTTGCTGGCAACAAAGGTGAACCCCAGGCTACTGTAACCCTTCACAGACACGACAAAACAATCGGTCTGTGAGCAAAATTTTCCTATTGAGCCCATTGTAAGCTCTTTTTCAGAGTAAACACTATTCAGCCTTACAGGTTTCCCTGACTTCTGACTTGCGGAACCTTCTGTTTTTTTGCCTGAGCATATACTGACAGCTGTGACCCCGACGTGATTTGAACGCGCGGAGGATTCTACAAAGATTGGTCGGAGGCTGTGACAAAAATGATCGCAAACCGCAATCAAATTGCCTCGAAACGCTACGACAGAGTAATAGAAGTGAACTGGTACTTGTTACGGCCGGGATCATGCCTGATATAGCTCACCTCGATGTCGTGGGCTTTACCTCTTCACGTGTGATGATCTGCAACTGCAGATCTGAAGAGTTCGACCTCTTTTCTTCCTCAGCGAGAGAGACTACATACATAAGAATCAAGAACCACCTACATGGCTTTACGAACTGTATCAAGCTATTGTACCGTCTTAAAGAAGGTTCTGAGGCGGGCTACAAAAATTATCAAAGATCTGGAGACACAGCCCTGAGAAAACAGACGGCTGACCCTCAACGTCTTTCCCCTATCCTACAGGCAACTACGAGGGGATCTCACATTAACCTTCGGTATACTGAATAGTCTGACTTGTTGCCTTGCCTCGATGATTCCTTCACTCGGGTTAACGCGCCCACGTTGCTTGGTCATCCGCGAAAACCATGTCAAGGCAAAGCAAGGAGCGATGGACGCAAGTTTTTCTTCATTAACAGTGGTTGCAGCGTGGAACAGTCGGTTTGCGGAAATTGTTCTATCCACTTGAGCCAATGTATTTAAGAACAAACTTGACATCCATCAAACATCTCAGTCACCAGCTGCATGCTAAATTCTGCGGCCAAGCCTACTATTACAATTATTATACTAAGTGTGTAGCCATGTATGATTACGCTTTCGGCTAACCAACAACTGCTCGCTTTTCGCCTGCAACCGTGTAATTGGCGTATTTTTTTCTTTTGTAGCGATACGTTTCCTGACCACCTTTTCTACCAACAGGGAGCCCAAAGGTGTTTGCCTATCCTTCCCTTAATACAAATGGACTGATTAATTATATTGTTGAGGGCAATGAATTGATGGGATTCCTAAAGAAAGATAAACGTCACGGGTCCCGTCACAAAGAAATGAGATTGAACTGCGTAACTGAAAGCTGTGATCAATGAAACCGCACAAAGCAAACTGGCAGCAGATGCACAGAAGGCGCGACGGGGGGACTAACCTTGTTAGTTATGTGGCGAGTGAGTAGAATCCAGACCGAAGCCTCCGTCTTTGCCCGCACTTCGAGCTTGTACTGTGGGTTGTTGGCGTAAGAGTAGATGTCCTTCTTGGGCCCGGTGGCTGCGGACCACTCACTGGCAAGGATAAGGCGGAAATATGATAAGGGAGGGGGAGGGAACGGCACTGGATAGAAAGTAGTTTTTAATTTATACCTAAGCATAAACGGTTTCTTACCAGACAAGGATATGGACACCAAAACGGCAATATTCAACCACACCGCCCTTGAAAATACGCTGCAACGCGTCTGTTTCAGGTAGTTATTACAGACCCCGGACGATGACAATGGCCATTCTATACTTCAAGAAGTTAAGTGCCTTGGCAATCTAATGACAAAGTTGCCGAAATACAGTATGCTCGGAGAAAATGGCTAACGGCGCAATTCCGTCAACCAGTGTATGCGCAAACAAAACGAGCATCAAAATCGTACCAACCTTAACTTTTAGCGAGCGATCCCGTGCGTCAAGAACGTCTCGGAGGCCGTCTTTACGCGCCACTTGGGGGCGCACACAGACCAGAGAC